AAACGCATTACTGCTTCACGGCAGATATAGGCAGGGCGGTGGTACCTACCCGTGCCGACTCTAGAGGTCCTGCCACTAGTAATGCGGCCGCAAAATATATACCCACAATGTAGGTTTCACCAAATCGATTGGTAAAATAATAATATAGTTAGATTTTTTTATTGCATATATGGATGGACGAGCTCACAGTTCACCTGGTGTTAAGTGGTTACCGAAACAAATAGACATCTACGATGTAGATACCGCCACCCACCTTGAGGTATGTGTTCTAAGGTCTCAGTAGGTTACAACGGCTGCCCCCACCTTTCAAACCGAAACGCATTAGTGCTTTACGGCTGAAACAGGCAGGTTGGCGGTACCTACCCGTGCGGACTCACAAGAGGTCCTATCACAAGTAGAAAGTATATAAATATGTATATAATCAAGAAGTTCTTTAGGCCAATCAAAAATTATTTTACGTATTAAAAGTTAATTAAATCAAAGAACAAATTTGAATATGGTAATACAATGTTCACTACACTTTTTCATATACAAAAAAAGTAAAAATTACATAATTTCATTTTTCATTGATGATTTCTACCTTGGATACTGGCATGTTGCTTGTTGCTTATCCGTATATTTTGGTTGTAGCCGTACCGATTGTTTCAGCATAAAAGAAATCATGCATTCAAGTTTGAAGCGAAAGAGAACAGTGATTCCAATAATGGTGACTTCGACCGTAGACCCCTAAGTGAGCGACGTCATTCAGTGTGATCATACGCTTTGATGGCTCCTTAATACTTGTTAGTTCGTTAGCTCACGCTTGGATCTAAGTTAATTAAAAATAGTACCAAAGAAATATTGACTTTGAACTAAGCCATAGATTTAATATTTAGTTTAACGATGCCATTCACGAGCCAAGGATCGCAGCAGATGGAGAGAAATCCTACGTAAGAGAATAATCCAGCCATTGCAGCCTCAGTCATGAGGAAAGCCACGCGAGGAGAAATCTATAATTTCAATTAATTGGGTCTCCCTAATTACTTAATAATAAGTGGCGTTTCGAATATGAACACCGAATTCAGAGCAGACATTTTTAAAGTTACAAATTATCAAGTGTCATAATTGTGTTCTTAATTATTCAGCACTCAACTAATAACAGCGATCTACTTAAGAAGAATCTAAGAAAAATGCCTATACCTAACTAGCGACCCGCCCTCGCTTCGCTTCGGAAACAATAAAACACACACGAAACCAAAAAAAAAATTTTAAAAAAAGTAGCCTATGTTCATTAGGGACAATGTCGGCTTCTAATGGAAAAAGAATTTTTCAAATCGGTCCAGTAGTTTCGGAGCCTATTCGAAGCAAACAAACAAACAAATCTTTCCTCTTTATAATATTAGTATAGAAGTATAGATATAGATGTTACTGGCATGTGAATAAATGAAGTTACTTTTTGCCGGGAATCCTCGGTAGTCTAGTTCCTGGTATGTGTGACAGTTTTAAGATTACAGCAGACGTTGTTTGCGCAATCATTAGGTGTAATCAGCCTGTACGCTTGTAGGATAATAATGTTTTCCTGTTTTTCTTCAGTTTAATGTGGGACGGTAGTGATGTAAGAATTTCTCGGAAAAGCATTGGCTTAAAACACCTGTATAAGGCATTTTTACAGTTTCTTCTAGAAAGCAACTAGAAATAAAGTCTAGATGTGATTATGTTAGAAGATTATCGTATTGCAGTATGACATAGGTTGTGTTTATTGAAAATAAAAGTAAGTTTGGACAAAATGGATATTTTGGATTTAGTTTTTTGTAGATTTTCGAAGTCTACTGCTGGACATAGGCCTCCCTCAAGGTTCGCCACAATAACCGGTCCTGCGTAGCCTGCATCAAGTGGATTACCGCAATTTTAGCAGGTCACCCTTTTTGAAAAACAGTATTACCACACTTCTGGTCCATGCCTGATGCACATTCCCATTAAGTGTGACGAAATTGTATAGTTTCTGAAGGGCTCTAAGAATCAGTTTTCGACCCACCTTCTGCAGTGATTCTATCATCATCCGGTGCTCTGTTGATCTTAAGCTGTTTGAGTCAGTTTGAGAGCCATATCGCCAAGCTGACATATGGGATATCATTAGTACAGTGTCGGACGCAGAATCTAGCACTTGGGTATTTTTCTAGCTTTTCCACGGATTGGCGAGCAGAGTATTTTATTTTCATCAAGTCAGTTATCAGATTACGGTTCATAGGTTAAAGATGCCTAAAGACCCCATTTGGAAGCATGTTGCATCTAACGAGTCGGCCGTGCTTTTACGGTGATGGACGCTCAACACAGTGTTTACTATAGACAGAGAATATTGAACCAGAAAAAGAACATTCATATATGGGGGGTATGAGCAAGCGCGTCCACCAATATTTAACTCTCTTATATTGCGTAATTCTATAAAACCTTGTAATTAAATTTTTCATCTCGACTATAAACTTTAATTGGCCAGGAATTAAAGTTATCACAGCAATTGTTCGTTCTAGGGAATGTATTAATAATTATACACGATATATTTTGTCAACTAATTATCTGTCTTCTTCCTACAAATTAAGTTTCTATTACGCAATTAAAGCACGCATACCTACGTATTGGTTTAAGTAAAAGTTGGCTCACATTCAATACGTGAACAGACTGACACCCGATATTTACGAAAGCCTCGACTGTTTAGTAAATAATACGCGTCACTGTTGTTCGAAATTTAACAATTTCACTGAATAATTTTGCGTAAGACTGCATACTAAATTTGATGTTTCGCAATTTAGTTGCATTCCAGGGTTGTCTTGACTTTCATTATTGAAATCTATATTGAAATTTTGGAAATACGTATATACATTTTTTATTATTCCAATAAAAATAGGCCTAATAAATACTCTTTGTTTCTTTAGTAGTTACAAAGTTAGTTTGTTCTTTTAGTAGTTACAAATTTCGTAGTTGGCGCACAAGGTGGTTTCCAAAAGGGAACGCGTCCAATGTTTTTTTTTAAATTATGTGTTTTTCTTCTTATTTGGTGGTAGAACCTCTTGTGAGTCCGCGCGGGTAGGCACCACCACCCTGCCTTTTTACCTGCCGTGAAGCAGTAATGCGTTTCGGTTTGAAGGGTAGGGCAGCCGTTGTAACTATACTTCAGACCTTAGAACTTATAACTCAAGATGGGTGGCGCATTTACGTTGTAGATGTCTATGGACTCCAGTAACCACTTAACACCAGGTGTGAGCTCGTCCATCAATCTAAGTAATAAAAAAAAAAGAATCCTAAAAAAAAATTCGTTGAACCGAAAGTTAGTTGTTCATAAGGCTAGCAATGATTTGTTAATGATTTTAAACATCGTTCTAGTAGGAAATAAAAATAAGGCGAGTACTATTTAATTAGGTGAGGAGCGGTGGAGGAAAAATGTATTATTATGTGTGCGCACGCAATGCGTCTTCCGGGAGTGAAGGTGGAAATAATTAGTTAATAGTAATACTATAATAAATATTACATAATAGTTTAACAGATTTTGATGTATATTATAGCTTGAATTATTAAAAAAGATATTCGAAATTATTCTGAATGGTACTCTGTGTTTATTATCATGAACCAGAAAATTTGTTTATAAATAATTTAAACCAAAATTTTAGATTTTTTTAAAGATATTATGTAATGAGTGAACGTGTCCATGGCCCTTCCGATTTTAAGTAGCGGTGCCTATAGATAATACCACCCAACTTGAGACATGTGACAACGAACTAATATAAGAAGTTTTATTATAATACATAATGGCTATCCTATCATCACACGCTCCGCTTTACAGGGGAATAATCATTTAATATGTCAAGACTTTCATTAAATTACGCGGTTGTTTGATTTTGTTGCTTATAATAAAACTTAGTCATAAATATATATTACATGTTATCATTAAAGGACTGTTCAACATGAGGCGGCTAATAAATCTAAAGTGGTCTCTAAAATTCTTCTAGTACATTCCAGGGATTGTTTACTTATGTTACATCGTCGTTATCGCTGAGCACGTATGCTAAAAGGAGTAAAAAGAGTTTAAACCATTTAAACTGTAATCACGTCAACCATGGCTTTTAACACATCGCTTTTTTTTCTTTTTTTTTTCGGTACACGAATTATAAGGAACTGTGTTCGAAATACTTTTCATTTTAAACGTTCATATTCTATGTTCAATGTACATTAATATGTTTTTGTTCACAGTTAGGAAAAATTATAATCAATCTATACTAATATATAAATCTACAGTGGTTTTTACGGATGTTCCGTTATAACTTCTGAACCATGCATCCGATTGACTTGAAACTTAGTATCCATGTAGAAAATACATGTACTTAATGGATAGGCTAATATTTATATGAGTGTTGAATTCCTTAATAATAATGACAATAAATAATAATGTTAATTTTAAATGTCCAGCGAAGCCGGCGACTACGGCTAGTAGTGTTATAATTTCATTTTACAATTTTCTATGGCCCGTCTGATGGTGAATGGTTACCATCGCTCATGTACGCGAGGAATGCGAGGTGCACAGCAATGTCGCTACCTACACTAATATGGGTTTTACCATTAATTTTATACGATATAATCTAAGAATATTAATTAGTGTAATTTAAAAAAAGAACCCATTTCACGTCTTAGCTACTTACTTCTTAGTTACAATCTGTGACCTTGTCCGTTCACGAAGCCCGCTATAGAAAACAGAGTATTATATATACACTTGACATTGGCGAAATCTTAAGGGAAACGGCATTAACCCAAGAGGTAGATAGATAGAACCCATTTAACGCTTCAAACAGAATTCTATCAACGCGATTATCTGTCTCTGTTGAAGACAACAAAAGGTTCTTTGATTACGTCGCATCAAGTTTACACGAAGCGGGTTTGAAATTCCGATAAATCATCGTGGTTGTGTATAAAAATGGGTCAGCAGGTAGAACTACCGCCCCGGTGCAGTGAGCGCGCGCGCATCGTGGGCTCATTCTGTTTTTGCCCGCCTTTCGACTCGCGCGCAGCCTCCACTGTTGTTCGCAGGCCACGCGCGTTTCTCTCACGTGGGAAACCGTGGTATACCAGCACTCATTCATCCGCGACACCGGACTAGACAGCACGCGATGCCTCTGACATTTTGTTATCACTAGCGGCGAAGCGAATTAATATGGTGATATCTTAGAGTCCCCTAGTGGAAGTTGAGTGATGATCAAATAGACACAGTGATTAGGAGTTTCCTATTAGATAAGCGGAGACATGGCGGTCTTACCGGTAAGTCATTTCAGTAAACTTCTACGAAACTGTTTTTACACTTTTCCATTTTATTTTATCAAGAAGTACTTACTACATTTGAAATAAACAATGTGGCTCGAATTAAAAATTACGATCTGATATATACAAACGGTTTTTTGTGCTGAAATGAAATTGAAAGGAGACTAAAATGTACTTATACTTTTATCCCTTTTTTCTTGTTAACAAATTCAGACGAAACAGGACGTTCTTGATTTGTTACCGTCACGTCATTGCCGGTAGATTAAACTTTAAAGGACGCCAATGATAATAATATCAATCATATTATATTGTACGATACAAAGGGATTACAATTGTTCAGTTGTTTATACTGTTCATCTTATTAATAGAAATGTTTTAATAGAAAATTGAGGAATTAGCCTTAAAAATCTTGTATCTAGAACCATAATCTTAGATGTAAATAAAATCTTCTAAGGGCCAGTTCAAGTAGAAAGCAATTATATTTTGTCCTGTAGGATGATTTCAGGTTCGGAAATAAGGCCAAGTGATATTATAATATTATTAATGCATTTTATATAGGGTTATGCCACTTTTTAAACCAAAACGTACCACTGCTTCGCGGCAGTAATAGGCAAGATGGTGGTGTTGGTGGCAACGCGCTATATCACCGGTAATAACGATTATTTACAAATTCTTGCGGGTTCATTGTCTTGGTTGGATAGTGGTAAAAATTGTAGGGTTCAAATTATCTGCTTGCGGAATTTTAACTCTGGTATAGTTGCATCGGTTGATATGAATACCCATAGATGGGTGAAAACACCCATGTTCCTTATTACATGTGCAAGTTTTCAAGTTAATCGCACTTCTTGAAGTTCGTTAAAATTAGGAAGAAAGTTTGGGTTACCTAAAAATACGACCCCAGCTAAGCCAGCTACCAATTTTATCCAGTATTATGATGGTGTCGGTTAATATTATCTCCCAGACAAGGCTAAACGATATTAAATACCAGTGATTCTGGCCGTGATTCAAGTCCGAACACCGAGGTACAAGAAGGCTTCTAGATTAGATTAAAATATAGTTTCCGGATACTTCATTAAAAAGATCTAAATCAATTTAAAACTCGCATTAACAAAAAACAAGTTCATACCAATACTTCAATAGATGTTCTAAAACATTAAATAGTCGTAAAACGAAACATGATTTGAGATTTTTTTTAATATTTAATTTGAATAAAAATTCAAATTTTTTTTTAAATATGATCATGTTTACAAGCTTTCCGATGTATCAGCGTGGGCTCGTAATACGCGTACTTATTAACACTAGTGAGTACTTGTAAATTTTTGCCACAAAACAACTATGCGTCCTATTTAGAAGGACAGGGGAGAGATTCGGTGTTGTAAGCAAGATAATTGAAACTTCGGCCTCATTTGTCAAGGTAGGTAGCAGCATCAGGTGGTCTCATAGCAAATCACTCCAGCAATTTTATTATCCTATCTATGCGTCTATAAAATTCGAGACGTTTTCTTCATCGATATGAAATGTACACTTTACATGAGTAGGTACCTTAATAATTAAACGCAAAGCTTTAAGTTACGAAAACGAAAAGTCGAGATCAACTTTCATGATAAGCCGTAATAAATTGTACTTTTAATTTTCTTAAGAAAGTTTAGTAAGAATAAAAACACAGCACCCTTGAACTTTAACAAGATCTTGATCTTACACATTTGTGACCACAGGGAACGAGATTTTGGAAATAGTACTTCAAAACATTCAATTATTAATTCAATTTAATATTTCTTGCTCGTGCGCATTCATTATTGGAACAAATAAGTAAAAAGAATATATATACACCATAGGAAATAGAATAATACTATTATTCATTGGATTTGTAAAAAATGTAGATAAATGAAGACAACTTAAGTTTTAAGCAAACCTTGTTGCCTAAATACATGCAATCGTTATTAAGAAATAAATACCATATATATAGGGACATAATATGTATATAATAATATAAAAAATGTCCAATAATAAAAATATCTGAGCTATTGCAAATTTTGTGTTCATTGATAAACTTTGAAAGGAACTTCAATAAATCCGCGTTGAAAACAAATGTTTGGGATTTATACAATTTATTACCTAACGTTAAAGTGAATTGCTTTAACAGTCCATTATAATCAAACTAGTATTTTGACACTAGCATACAAGAGAAATCTTAGAACGGGTTTGTTTGTGTTTGAAGATGCACGAGCTTCGAGTTTGAATTATCTAATCGTATGGTATCGTCACTAGTCATTCGTCAAATTCTCTAATTTCTTATCAATTAATAGAAATGCCTAAGTGATTATCGATTCGTCTGATGTTTATTACCGATTTAAAGTGATCTGTTTCTACAATATTTATCACTAGTATTTAATCGAATATTTTGTCGAATTCATTTTTTATCAAATAAATTATTCGGAAATCTATCAATTAATTATGTAGATTTGTTACAGAAAGTCCTTGAGTTATTGAATTATTATTTTGGTATGACAGGTTATGATAGATTATTTTGACGTATGGAAGTGTAAAATGGAGTTCAAATATTTATGGAACCTGACAAAGTGTACATCACGTCGTTGTGTAGGGGCTACGATTTTTTAGAATGTTTTTAAAATTACAGTTTCAATTGAATTTAAATTGACAACAGTTTTAGTCATAAACGAGATTATTTAACTTATTTAGTAAGTTTATTTATATATCCAAAATAGGTTTATGTAAATTAACTTATATGGGCACACGTGTACGATTAAAAGTAAACGTTTTCATTAAAAACCTTGTACAAATTTTGGAGCAAGTTAAATCACTTTCTAAAACGTTATGAATAATTTCACTTATATTTTTGGAAGAAACTGGTTTTTATTTTATTTTATAGGCATCGATAAACATATGTACTATATATTGAATGCCAGCGGTTCTTTCGTGATTCTATAACAGCCCAAATATAATGGTCTGGGCGACGATTAGTCAGAACATATCCTGGGGTTCTAGTAATTGTACCTACTCGTAATACGTGAGTCGAAAATGTTACATAATAATATCTTCATTATTTTTCTCATCAATTATTATTTTCTTTAATTCGTATCACCGGTACTAAAGCGTGTTCTGATTTTACACGGTCTGACATAAGCAGTCCCGTGTTCCTGTTTGAAGCGTACCCGTTGTTACGTTTAAAGGTGAGCTATGGGATTCATATTGTGGAGCCTATCATGATGACTCTCTGTTTAATAAACTGTTTAATATCAAGTGGCCGTGTGTATTCGTTTGCCTATTTTCAGGTTTAGAAAAAAATTGTTTAGCTTACTTTTTTTATATATTTTTTAATGCTTAGTTGGGTGGACGACCTCACAGCCCACCTGGTGTTAAGTGGTTACTGGATCCCATAGACATCTATAACGTAAATGCGCCACCCACCTTGCGATATAAGTTCTAAGGTCTCTAGTATAGTTACAACGGCTGCCCCACCCTTCAAACCGAAACGCATTATTGCTTCACGGCAGAAACAGGCAGGGTGGTGGTACCTACCCGCGCGGACTCACAAAAGGTCCTACCACCAGTAAGTAACTGAAACCAGTTATTGTCATGGTAACACATTAAGCTTTACTAAATAAAAACCAAATGGAAATTTGAAAATTAAAAAGAGTCATCGAGCCGCGTGTTCAAAGAAAACAAATAAATAAGAATGTGAATGCGGAACGTCCGTTTGTAACACTTAATGGCTATAACTTTATAAACGTAATGTATCTTCGTCATCGCACGCATTCATGCACCAATATTGTATTGTGATTGTAATAAATTACTAAGCAAACACACCGCGCGTATCACTTTCCATTTCTATACTATCTTCTATGTTATTACTTGTATTATGTAACGAAAAATCGACAGCATAATGTGTATTACTTAAATCTTTGAATGACAATTATTTTAGAGACATTTAACATCGAATAGAAGAAACCTCGATTCACAAAAAGGTATTTAACCCACAAGGCGTTCAATAGATCGACGCCAATTCATATGTTTTTACGTATTGGTATGTTTATTATGCAACAGAAGAATATAGGTACAGCCCGCCTGATAGTGACTGGTTACCGTCTCAATGGACGTCGGCAATGGCAGGATATAGTCAAACCACTGCCCGAAATTCCACGGATATACCTACTAAAGTTCATCGAGCCAATGGCATTTATGAATATATTATCTATATATATAAAAATGAATTGCTGTTCGTTAGTCTCGCTAAAACTCGAGAACGGCTGGACCGATTTGGCTAATGTTGGTCTTGAATTATTTGTGGAAATCCAGAGAAGGCTTAAAAGGTAGATAAATATGAAAATGCTCGGAACTAAATAAAAATAACAATTTTGTTTTTCCTTTGATGTGTCCCCCGTCGGACGGATTCCTTTTATTTGTTTTAAGTTTATTTTATACTAGCGACCCGCCCTCGCTTCGCTTCGGAAACATTAAAACACACATGAAACCAAAAAAAATAAAATAAAAAAAGTAGCCTATGTTCATCAGGAACAATGTCGGCTTCTAATGGAAAAATAATTTTTCAAATCGGTCCAGTAGTTTCGAAGCCTATTCGAAACAAACAAACAAACAAATCTTTCCTCTTTATAATATTAGTATAGACAAAACTTTAAGTCTTTTATTTATCGATTGATGCACTACGAAGTCTGCCGGGTCAGCTAGTCTTCAATAAAGAAATGTGATTCGCGTTAGAAATGTGTAAAATTATGTAATTGGTAATTTAACGAGAGATTTATCCGCAAGGTTGCACAATAAAGAGATCAAGGCTCTAGCGAACAATGATACGAACAATCGTTTGAGAATCCTCATAGTTGCGTTGTAAAGTTCGTGAAAGCGCGCTTCCCACACGTATTAAACAATATTCAATGTTAAGGCTTACATTAAAAAGGTTGACTCTCTTGATTTTAATTGGAATTCGCCTTTCGTTTCGTGAAATTTTTAACAATCGTGCTTTA